ATGGTTCGTCAAGTTCAAGAAGGGCGCACGTGTCTGGATGCCGAAGGCGGTCGTCTTCAACCGCCAGGTTGCTGGTCAGCTCCCTACTGGGTGGTCTGCGGGCCGCTATGGTATTCCCGACGACATGATTCCTCGCATCGACCGCGTCTCCCTCTGGGCGCTCACCAGCACGGCCGAGGCTCTCAACAACTCCGGCATCACGGACCCGTACGAGCTCTACGAGCACGTTCACCCGTCCGAAGTCGGCACATCCATCGGTTCGGGTATGGGTGGTGTGGAGTCGATGGCGAAGATGTTCAAGGACCGCCGCGATGAGAAGGAGGTACAGGCTGATGTCCTTCAGGAGACGTGCGTATTCTCTCAGTCTTTGCTCCTCGCTCCTCGCTAACTGGGCTTCCTAGGTTCATCAACACGACCGCGGGCTGGATCAACTTGCTCTTATTATCTTCGTCTGGTCCGATCAAGATTCCGGTTGGTGCTTGGTACGTGTTTGAGCAGAGTTATTCTCCGTTGATACTAATGCACTGTGTGTAGTGCCACCGCGCTTCAGTCTCTCGAGATTGCCAGCGACACGATTCTCTCTGGCAAGGCCAAGGTCATGATCGCTGGAGGGTTCGACGACTTCTCTGAGGAGGGTTCTTACGAGTTCGCCAACAAGAAGGTTACCAGCAATACGGAGACGGAGTTTGCTATGGGCCGTGAGCCGACGGAGATGTCACGCCCAACCACGACCACCCGTGCTGGGGTACGTTTCTCCGATCCTGCAGTTCTGATATCATTGCTGACCTCTCTACGTAGTTCATGGAAGCTCAGGGTGCAGGTGTGTAGATTGTCATGAACGCGAAGACTGCGCTTGAGCTCGGCTGCCCTATCCGCGGTATCCTGGCATTCATGTCGACGTCTTTGTACGTAGTTTCGCGGGACTTCGTATCGTGTCACCGCTAACCTTCGTGCAGGGACAAGGCTGGCCGCTCCATCCCTGCGCCCGGATCTGGTCCTCTTATTGTTCCCCGCACCATCCCGACCAAGAGCCCGTTACCCCGCCTCGATCTCACGTACTGTGCGCGCCAGCTTGCCTTCCGCCGCAAGCAGATCGGCGAGTGGTTGTCACACGAGCAGGCTCAGCTCAAGGAGGACTTGGAGTTTGCCAAGAGCCAGGGCGACGCGCCCGACGAGGAGTACTTCGCCTCGCGCGTCGCGGACATGGAGCTTGAGGCCGCTCAGCAGGAGAAGGATACACTCGCCACGTACGGCAAGCTGGAGGGTCTTGACCCGCGCGTGTCTCCTACACCCCGCACTCGCTGTTTGGGGTCTCAAGGCAGACGACATCGTTGTTCCGTCGATTCACGGTACGAGCACTGCCGTGAACGAGAAGAACGAGACGCACTTGTGGCACGATGTCTTCAACACGATCGGCCGTACGCCTGGCAACGCAGTCCTCGTCATGGCGCAGAAGAGCTTGGTGGGTCACTCGAAGGGTGGCTCCGCCGCCTGGCAGGCGATTGGACTTCTCCAGAGCGTCATTACCGGTATCGTGCCGGGCAACCGCAATGCGGACAACATCGACGCTCGCTTCCAACACCACACCAACCTTATGTTCCCGTCGAAGACCATCCACACCGACGGGATCCGCGCTGGTGTCATGGTATGTATCTCGCTATATTATCACTCATCCATACTCACTGTGGGTACAGTCGTCGTTCGGTTTCGGCCAGGTTGGTGGCATGGCCATGGTTGTCCACCCGCGTTACCTCTTCGCCGCTGTTCAGCCTGCGGCCTACACCGCGTACAAGGTCCGCAACGTCGCGCGCTACCAGAAGCCGTACAAGGCGATGTCGGAAATGATGATCACGAACTCGCTCGTGCGCATCAAGGATGGCACACCCTATTCCGCTGAGCTCATACGCTCTGTCCTGCTCAACCGTTCTCTTGCGCGCGCCAGCTTCGATAAGAAGTCCAACAGCTACACGTACGAACTCATTCGCTCAGGATCGCCCCAACGTCAAGGCCATTGAGAGCGTCCTTTCCTCGTCGTCTTCGACTGCCGGTGTCGGTGTTGATCAGGGTATGGTATCACTATTTGAATCACCCATCATTATGCTCACACGATTGTATAGAGTTGATCTCGTCCGTGCCGTCATCGAACCCCACGTTCTTTGAGCGCAACTTCACGGAGGCTGAGATCGCCTACTGCCGCGCGCAGCCCTTGCCCGCATCGTCGTTTTCTGCACGTTGGGTCGGCAAGGAGGCCGTCTTCAAGACTCTCGGTGTCGCATCAAAGGGTGCCATGAAGGACGTCGAGATCCTCAATGATGTGTCTGGCGCACCCCAGGTCAGCCTCGGCGACACCAAGGCTGCTGCCACCGGCAAGGGCATTACAAAGATCCATGTCTCGCTGAGCC